CTTTCGATCGAGCGGAGTATCACCCCTCTTTCGAAGCCCCACCAGCCGAGCCAGAATCTCAGAGCTTGAGATCGGAAGTTCGGGAAACCTCCAAGCCCTTTGCTGCACACGCCGCGCGCCGCGCATTCGCCAGCACAGGAGCGACGGATCTGTGAAGGCAGCGATACCTGCGAGCGGTGTGACCGTGGACGGAGGGTTAACAGCGTTGAAACTGGGAGATGCTTCTTTTGGTGCAATTGCAAGATTGATGATTTTGACGGTTTGGAGTGTTGGAGCAGCTAAGCCCGATTTCAGCGAAGTTTTGCCATGGAAAAGGCGGCTGAATTGCAACATACCTAATGCGTGATTATGGGCCCATGAGTCATCACCGCTCAGTGTCATCAGCACAACGAGCGGTATCTCTATTGCCATCAGTATCAGCATAACCGTGACCATGACCATGACCATCGGTACCATCATTATTGCCATCATCACTATGATAATGATTGGATCTGCTGATTGCTGTTCTTTCTCTTTGTTGGTGTTCAGTCTTCTGCAATGGGAGGCCAGACAAGCGAAGAAGCTTCGGCTGAGCGACGCTGCGACCTGAACCCCAAAAGTCCGGGCTGCAGTGCAGGTGGCAATCAGCAGAATTCAAGAGTGGATTCAAGTATTTTAAATGGAAGCTTTAGCACCTTCAGGATAGGGTCGTTGCATGTCGGGGGCTTTGTACCCGAGCTAGTCGCAGCAAAGATCCATGCCGGGCGCTCTTTGGTTTGCAGTGAGTTTTGCCAGTGCTTTCTCCGGGCTTGGAGGGAGACGGCTGCTAAGGCACACTGGCAGAGACGGTATTGTCACGAATGAAATGGCATGCCCGCGTCAGATTCACGAAGGACGTCTGAGTGCAGTCAAGAATCCCAGGCCTCAGGCAAGAGAGCAATGTTCGAAGAGGCATACAATATACAAGCCCAAGCAGCTTCTTCATGAGTTAAAATATGTGTAACTTTAAGTGCATAAACCATAGTGAGACAGAAGCTACCTAATTCATCATTTTCATGTAAAAACCATACAGTATGTGATTTGTCAGTTAGATAGTCGATAACATATAGTATGAACTGTATATCATTGATAGAATCGATAATCTATGACCTAGAGTATATAGTGTACAAGGCATAGTACGCAGTATACTTTTCATCATGTATGATACATGATATATCTATATATATATATATCTATACATATCACACGTAAACCTGTGTTTATGTATGCATATATATATATATAGTATATATAACTACAAATGCACATAAATATCCAAAATCAATCTTGTGTGTGCATATGTACATATATCTAACATGAGAGATATAACAAGTACACGCAATATATGGACCATGCCACATAATATGTTTCTAGCCATGCGCTATACATTATGGGCTTTGTATCACAACGAAATAGGTTCATATGATTCATATGTGGTCTGTGATGTTATTTATGCTGTAAATTATATGTCGCAAGTTCTATACTATGTGTTTTTTGATATAGGAGATACCATATGTGTGTGTATATAGATATATATTTATGTTTTCTCTATATCTATACCTATAATATTATATATATAGTATATATATATAGAGTATATATACATATATGTATTATTCTTGTGGACTGTTTATGGACAATCAAACAGAATTTACATGAGTATACTAGAACGAAAAAGATAACATAGCTGGTACAGCATAATGTGCTATACTATACTATGCCATGCTATGCTATACGATACTACTAACACGGTACTTACTATGTTAAATATTAGCAAAATGTTTTATATCATACTGTAATATTACACACCGAACTATGGTATCTAATGCAGTTTGTGTGACAATTTAACACAGTTTTCATTTCACTACCACATATATGCATATATATATACATAATGTACTGTGTTATAGTATAGCATAACATAGCACATCATGCAGTATAACAGCTTAGAATCTATTGTAATATATTGAAACATAGTTTAGATTTCTACAGTATCATGAATGCTTGAGAACAGTATGATGCTGCATAGATGAATATGTATTTTGTACAAGTAATACTTACAACGATGTTCAGAATTCTAGAATGTGTCAATGTGTCAAATATCTGATGTATTTAATGTTCTCTATGTATATATAATTGATTGCTCCTATGTAACATAGACTAGTTCATATATGCTATACGCTATATGTTTTTCATCTTCGTATGATTTAGTATATTGTTTACGATCTTTTACATATTATGTTATAGGTCACAAAATTCAATTTTTGTATAGGGTACAACAATAGCATTCAGTGTAAACTATTCGTTACTTTGTAGTGCAATATCTAGATTGCAAGGTATAAGGTATAGTATACAGCATCTGCTGTACAGCTTTTGTATATATACACATATGTAGATGTTGTGTCACCGGCTAGTGGAGGGCCGAAGCATTTTACGGCAATCTATCATCGCGCATCACTATGGTTCATTACGTGAATCTCCGCCGCCGCTGGCTCCGACAAATATAGTTCCGTTTCAACAGGCTTCGTTGGCCATACCACGTTTCATTCTCTAATTCACCCGAGGCATCTGAGGCATCCGTCGTTCGGGAAAGTAGTAGAATAAGATCACCTCCAGAGCTTTTGTTGCCGAAGAGCTTCCTTGGGTGTCGCTTGGAGCGACCCTTCTGGAACAGCCACCAGCTCGGGGGCGCTGTGGATGACAAGCAAGAGGCCAGACCGTTTCCCATATACAGAGAGGCGTTTGGGCGTGTGACTTGACATTATTGTTCTGATGCTTATTGTCCTGACCGTGTCGCCGACTCAGACTCGGATTCCCCGTTGCCGGACCCGGTGCTCAGATCGGGATCGCCGGCCGATCGCGGTCGGCATTCAAGCTCAAGGTCAGCAGTCTTAGCAAAGTGAACAAGCTATCAAGTGGTAGCAAGGGCTTGGAATGCCAGGATGATGTGAGTCTGAGAATTAGAAGATGCTCGGGCAGTGGGGAAACGACCACTCGACGGACATCCAGCTGCAGAAAACAGGGATGTCAAAATCGATCAGCAATGCTTGCCTCAATCGCTCAACGGTTGGAGGACAATCCCACACACAAGACCATGGCATCCACAATGTACAGGAGCCTGGCAGAAGTGGGCTAGTGGTGGCGGTAGTGGTGGCTGCTAGCAGTAGCGGTAGCAGTAGCAGTAGCAACAGCAATAGTGGGGAACAGGAGCAGGAGTAGGAGCAGTAGTAGTAGATGAGAAGCAGCAGCAGCCGCAGCAGCAGCAGCAGCAGCAGCAGCGGCAGCAACAGCAGCAGATGCTGCCACTGCTGCAGCAGCCACTGATGCCTGTACTCCTCCTCCCCCCCTCCTCTTGCCACTACTAGTGTCACTGCCTCTCCTCATCTTCCTCCTTCCTCTGCTGCTGCTGCTGCTGCTGCCACGAAGAAGGCGCGGAAGCGAGAGCGAAAGAGAGAATGGAAGAAAGAACGACAGAAAGAAAGAACGAAAGAAAGAAATAAAGAAAGAACAACTAACGAAATAGACGACGAACGACAGAAATAAAGAACGACGGAAAGACACAAATATTGAAAGATAGAAACAAATAATTAAAGATCGACAGAACGAACTATCGAACGAAAGCACGAAAGAGCGAACGAAAGACAGACAGAAAGAAAGAACGAAAGAAAGACCGAACAAATTAAACATAAAACGAACAAAAAAAAGACCTAATGAACGAACGAAACAACGAAAGAAATAACGAAACACACAATTAAATAACGAAAGAACGAACGAAATATCGAAAGAACGAAAGACAGAAAGAACGACAGACAGAAATAACGAACGAACTAGATAACGAAAGAACGAAACAAAGAACGAAAGCACGCAACAGATAAAGAAAGAAAGACATGCAGAAATAAAGACATACGAGCGGCAGAACGAAATAACGCTAAATAAATACATACCGAACGAAAGACAGAAATAAAGAACGACGGAACGACAGAAAGAAAGACAGAAATACAAGATAAAGAAAGAACGAACGAAATAAACAACGACATAAGTAACGAACGAGCGAAAGCAATAAATAACGAATGAAAGAAACAACGAAATACAGAACGAAAGGCAGAAACACCGACGGAAAGACAGACAGAAAGAAAGAAGAAACTAGCGACCGAAAGAAATGCATAAATGACGAAATAACTGAAATAACGCACGAAACAGCGAAAGTACGAAAGATCGACAGAACGAAAAAAAAGCCGACGAACGAACGAACAAAAGACAGCAATACATAACGAAATATATAACGAAATAACGAAATAACAAACGAACGAAAGAGCCAACGAACGAAACAAACAATAAAGAAAGAACGAAATAAGTAAAGAAAGACATATCAAATAAAGGTCTAAAGAAAGACAAATACTTAAAGACAGAAAGAAGTCATTAAAAAGATAAAGAAACAACGAACGCAATAGCGTAGGAAAGCAAAACACAACGAACGAAACAACTAAGGACCTCAATGGAAACTCTGCATTCGGCAGTCATGTCACATAGAGGTTGGGCCAACAGTCCGGAATGCGCTCGCGGGATCTCTCTTCCTTCAGTCCCGTGAGACGAAGCAGGAGAGGAAGAGAGCGAGAGGGAGAGAGGGATCAGAAGATCTTGAAAAGCCTGTACATTCTGGTCCCTCCGCGAGGCTTTCTGAGGCTTGTCGACTCTTCCGGTCCTTTTTGAATGCGCTTATGCAGGAATGGAGGACGACGATGTCGTCCAGGACGGTGAAGTGCGGGAAGGGCTTTGGGTTTACACACAACTTAGGCCTACACTTTGCACGTGGTGGCTCAGACTTCTAGAACTTTGATTCAATTCCGACAGGGTCAGGAGTGCAGATAACTAGCAGTGAAGAGTCCCGAAGCACCCCGCTCGGAAAGCTCGCAAACACATGGCCCTTGAATGTCGATACTGCGAGCTTTCGGACCCCAAATGTACAAGCTCTTGCTGGACAGGTGCCCTGCCCAACGCGGCAGGCTTCTGAGTGCCTAAAAACAGGGCCTGCCGAGCCTTGTTTGTGCAGGTCGAGGGGCCGAGACTTCTAGCTCAGATTTCAACAACTTTGTCCAGAGCCTTGCAGGTCTTGTTCTGCAATCGTTACAGCTACACTGCGTGCTGATATTTACATTCGGTACTGGCTTTTTCCCTCAGCCGCAAAAATGTCGAGCCAGGTGGGAGAATCAGATCTCTGTGAGCTCGGATGCTTCTACAACACACTCGCTAGAGGAGACTCAGCCACTTGCTCTTCTCAATGGCAAGAGACGCATTGAAAAAGACAGATTGTAGCCAAATCAGGACTAGGGGCAGACTCCGCCCGTGCTCTAGCAGTGCCAAAACCTGCTTTCTCGGAATCTGTTAGCCGTAAATGTCTGCAACGTCTGAAGCCTTGTGGAGAATTTGTGCATCGCATGAGCCTTTGTGCGCCCCGGAGGGCAGAAGTGAAGCTCCGCTCGTTGGTCCCCAAGCGCTGCAGGAGCTTTCGGCACCGCAGTTCTTTACAAAGCAATGCAGCAACATCGACGTGATGACTTCCCGGGCAGGGCCCTCAAAAGGGTTTTTGCGCAGGCACGAAGACCTTTGTGTGGCTTGGGCATAGCAGCCTGACCAGAACCAGCAGCACTAAAACCAGCGCGAAGTTCATTGAAACCTGTACCATGGGTTGGCTTTTCTGCCCAAAGGTTCTCGGGAACGGAATCCTTTCGAGACTTCAGCTTCTCCCGAGCAGCTGAGTAGCCATCACTTCCCGCACGTCCAGAGGTTGTCCGCGAAAGCAGCATCCAACAGGCCATTTGCGCTGCAGTCGCCGGGGGCCAAGCCCCTCTTAGAGTCGACGTCAGAGGCACAAACTGGGAATGAAGCCTCTCAGACCATGCTAGGCCGATGGACAAGTTTCGGTGACAGTGGCGGATCCCAGGCCGGCAGCCAAAGATAAGGACAATGACCAATTCCCGCTCCCGTAAGGATCCTACCACAAGTTGGCCGATTCATCTGCTTTGCTTCTTCGCTACTGAGGGGCATCATACCATCAAAGCCTCGAAAGTGGAAACCCTGCATGGAACCCGACTTGAACTTCACCCTGGCAGGAGTGAGGATGCTGCGCTCATAGCGATCTCCGAGCAGTTTGAAAGCATGACAGGCAGCTTTTCCGGAGTGTCATCTGAGATTGAGCATCGGGGCCGAAGGCTGAGAGGACTCTAGGGGCCAAGGCCAGTCTCATCCCTTGGGCAATGGAAAGCTCTGAAGTCCGAAGACTGACTGCCCCGGCGTCGACCGGCAAGCCCGATGCCAAGGCCCGTGACACGTTAGGGCCCCCAGCCGAAAGCCAGGCTACTGCCGTCAGGAAATCCTTGGAGCTGGGCCCAGTTGTGCTTCGATCTCGCAGGGGGGACTTCGGGGTCGACTTGCAGAGCAGGGAAGCACAAGTAGATGGCATACCGCAGGCCCACGCTTCACACACTGTTCCAAGTTGATCAGTTTCAAGAGCCCATGCCATCCAGTCGTTCAAGGGCTGGAGAGGAACAAGATACCCATAGAACGATTGTGACCACAAATCGTCGCGCGATCAAGATCACCGGCGGGCTCTTGGCATACTCCACCTCTGGGCTTGGCTACAGCAGGGCGGTGTATCATAGAAAATCTGCCAGCCTCCGACCTTGGAAGCAAAGACCCTTTAGAGTGTGGACTTGGAGTTGTGTGAGTCCACCCAGGCAAGAACTGCCGTTTCCTCAACGTGGGCTGCGACTGCAAGCCTGGTGACCTGCTCCGACTCCGGACCGGCTCCTGTTTCGCAGTCCTCGGATGGGGATCCAGGTGTCATGCAGTAGGTGACCGATGATGGGGAAGATGACAGGTGATGGACAACGTTGCAACCGAGCAAGCATGCGATCTAGCTGTCGTGGCGTCATATCCGTAGCCAGTTGAACAGCAACCCAGCAATCCCGATGATTCGGATGTCGTGGCTAGACTTGGGTAGACTCGGGTAGACGTATACGTAAACAAGCAAAACAGATCGGTGCGTGTGTGTATATGTATGTATGTATGTATGTATGTATGTATGTATGTATGTACACATACATACATACGTACATACATACGTACATACGTACATACGTACATACGTACATAGGTACACACGTACATACATACATACATACATACATACATACATACATACATGTTTCATATACACAAAAACATGCAGTTGAAAAGCCACATGCTTTATACATAGACAGGTAGATAGATAGGTAGGTAGGTAGACAGTTAGATAGATAGTTAGTTCATTTAAATTGAATGAGGTGAATGAAATTTGTTTAGGCTAGATTCGGTTTTAGCTTGGGTCAGACTAGATTGGATTAATTAACTTTGATTAGGTTAGAGAGTAGAGTAGATACGAGCAGGCTAGATGAGATTAGATGAGGTCAGATGAAGGATCAGTAGTCAGGTTGGATCAGGCTATATCAGACTAGATTAGACTTCGCTAAGTTAGGCTAGGTTAGATTAGGTTAGATCAGATCAGGTTAGATTTCTTATACAGATAGATGGATGCACATACAAATATTATGCATGCACGCAAAAGAGTGTGTGTGTGTGTGTGTTTGTCTGTCTGTCTGTCTGTCTGTCTGTCTGTCTCTGTGTGTGTGTACATGTACTGTGCAGCATTAGAATTGAATGGAATGATGACGACGATGATGATGATGATGATGCTGACATACGGATGGTGCTGGTAATGGTGCTCATGCTGGTTAGGGTTAAACGATGGTGATGGTCATGCGGCTTGATGACAGACACTCACTAAAAACGATGACCACATTGACGGCGATGATTTGGATGACGATTGTGATGATTATGCTGATCGTTTTGACTTTGATGATGCTGGATGCGGCAATGGCGATGGTGGCTTTGACAATGAGGGTGCTGATGGCGATGATGATGATGCTGACGAAAGCAACGGGACTGAGTAATGCCTTGACAGTGATGACGACGACGATGTATTTCTTCGACGGCTATCACTGCTGCTGCTGCTGCTGCTGCTGCTGCTGCTGCTGCTGCTGCTGCTGAGGTCACACTTTACAGTGCATGTGGGATCCAAGCAGCCGTATCAAACCGCTTGCGTGTTGCAGGAGATCGGTAGAGACCGGTGAGCCCTTCACCGGCGTGCTGGAGAACAGAAGGAAGCCGGGCGGCCAAGGGTTCAGCCTGAGTGGCAGGACTGTCGCATGTGGGGACACCGAGCTCGCACTCATAGTTTTGACAACGCACAGATGTGCATAGCCACAGGCATATCGTTTCTTGGAAGGCAAGCAGGCAATAACACATGTGTACATGCCGGCATAAAGTCGGTTCAGTTTCATGGTTCGGGATCGAGCAAGGCCGCGAAGAGAGAAAAGAGAGAGGCTGCTGCATACGGACAACGTCACCTGATCCTGACGACACCCGAGAGCATTGAGGGAAAGCCCTGCTGTCTCCGATTGATGATCGATGCACAATCTGGCCTTGTTTTGCTTGATGTTTCGTGGGTCTTTACGACACTTGCTCACCGAGTCTTGGGACACAGCCTGAGGCGAATCGAGAGATGAAGCATCAATGGCAATCTATGGGGAATGCCAGCTGCTAGCATGCGTCTGTGCACGCGCCGTGGATCCTGTACACAGGAACCATATGGACATATGGGCATTCAACGGCTTGATGGTGTCCGTTGTGCAGTACTGATGTCTTCTTGCAGCTTGTCTTTAGGCAAGGGCTTCCTCCAACACAGTATCCCTAATCGTACCATGATTATGGTACTCTTATTGTACCCCCGAAAGTAACCCTTCTAGTTTTAACACCCGAGCCCTCCAGGTCAGGGGAGTTGTTCCGGAATCTGTTGGACCTGTGTTGCCCTCGGAAGCCTTTCGGCGCTGTGGCCAGATCTTTCAGCTCAGACTCACTGTTTTATCACCAGAATGATCCTATAGTCATCGTAATCATACCCTAGTATAACATATCATGCCATTTGGTGTTGAAGTTGATGATGATGGTGATGTTGATGATGACGACGATGACGATGAAAACGATGATGATGACGATGCTGACGACGACGATGATGATGTTGGCGGCGATGACGGTGATTGCGATTTGCATCTTTTGCGCTGACAGAACCTGCAGCATTTTGCCAAGTCCAGCACGGATACATATCGCTTGTGCCGCAAACGATGAGGTCAAAGCGTCGGAGGGCTTGGTGTCGCGGACCAGCTTATAGCACTACTTGGAATCACGCAAGTGTACAAACAAACTGCAAGAAAAGAGAACCACCTAGCCATTCTTCATTGTGCAACACATTGATATAGCATCCACGGTAAAGAAGGTAGAATGCTCGACCGCACCGACCAGTTGATTAACAACAACGACGGACGCTGAAGCAGCCCAAGGTGCGGGTTGACGGTGGCGCGAAATCCCTTCAACGGCCTCTCGCCAGGGCTGGTCTCTTTGTTGGGTGAAGCGGGAGCTCTACTCACCAGCAAAAAACATATTTTGTAACATTTGTCTGAGGTGTACAGTGGTGTACAGTGTATATATATATACATACACCCACAGACATATGTATATAGATCAAGCATGCGCACATACATACATACATACATACATACATACATACATGTGTATATATACATATACACATGTATATATATATATACATGTGTATATATATATATACACACGTGTATATACATATGTATGTATGTATGTATGTATGTATGTATGTATGTATGTATGTATGTGTAAATGTATGTGTGTATATATGTGCGTGTGTACATGAACATGGACATGGATATGTCTATTATGTATATATATATATATATCTGTATATATATATATACACATACGTATATGTGCATATATCAACGATGCAGCATGTACTGTATGTCTACATGAGGTCCATAGGTACATATGATAGTATTTCTATGGGTGTTTCGCTCCGTGAAGCTTTTCCTTCGAGACTGAGGCGCTGAGCTGTGGTTTCTCGTCGGCATCCAGGCCTCGTGCATTCGATTTGGGAGTTGAGCTTCGGGGTTTATTTATGGTTTAGGACATGTTAGCTTTCTGATGTGGGTGTCGGAAAACGGGGCAAAGACGGAGTATCTTTTCAAAGCTCTGCCGTGGTGGAAGGAAGGATGGGGCTGTACTTTCAACTTGTAACAACCTTGTAGGGGTTTTCCGTGGTGTTCGTTGGGCCGCTGTCCTCCGCCGTTACGGACGGACCGATGAAGGAGTTCGATCACACCCGAGTCGAGGTCCTAGATTCGCCATCTTCTCTTTCGCACCTTCGAGCTCTCATGTGTTGTTGCCCGACCCCGTCAGCGCCGCTTCGTCATCATAGACCATGGTTCAGCAGTTCAGCCAAAGCTCCAGAAAGCACGGCTGCGGAGGCAGATGTTTCCGCCCTGGACGAGATTTCGCTGCACAAGGTGGCCGAAGGATCAAGGGTTGTATGGATGATCCTTGAGGTCTAGCGAGCCCATCGCGGCTTTGAGAGCAAGCTGTAGGACTAAACTGCAGGGCCGCCCACAATCCTGAACCCGGGAGGCCGAACAAGAGGTGCACCGTGTGGCCAACGATATCCGCTCGCGCCTGGCCGATCAGCTTTCGGCCGGGTCCCCGAAGGACTTTGCCTTGGCACACGGCAAGCGGGTTTTATAGTCCAATAGCTTTGATATTTCGTAAAGTTTCGGCGGGGTTCAGCTCGTCGATGTCTCTAACATGCTCCCTCCACTCTACCCTGTGCTTGAAATCCGACCTCCGCACATCCTAGCTCTTGGAACGCCCTAGGGAGCTGGACTTCCCAGCTTAGCATCCAAGACTTTCGGGGCTCTTCAGCATGGTGTGCTCTCTGGAGTGCCCGCTCGGTGCACCAAATCCAAGACCCGGAAGACTCCCCAAACCCCAAACCCTCAACTCCCCCCCTGTCCCCTTCCCGCAAAAGCCTGAATCGCCCGAGGCCTTGGCGATCTCTGGAGCTCTGATGTCCAATTTCGAAGTGTCGGATGAGGGCAACTACCTCCGGAGCAGGGAGTGCCCTCAAGTTTAAAGGCGTTCATGGACTCTGCACCCAATGTGGCGACTTCCATTGAAGGAACAGGCGAAACCCAAACGGTTGGAGGTATTCCAAGCCCAGGGACCTTGACCCAGAGGTGTGGAGCTTGCGGTGAGCTTAGAAGGCGAACACGCGTATAGTCGCAGGAGTCGTAGTCGCAGCCGTAGTACCAGTAAGCAGTAAGCAGTTCAGTAAGCAGTAAGCAGCAAGCAGCAAGCAGTAGCAGTAGCAGCAGCGGTAGCAGCAGTAGCAGGAGCAGCGGAATGATGCGGTTGCTGCTGTTGTTTCTGCTGTTGCTGCAGATGGTCATGACGATCATGATGCTGCCACTGGCTGTGATGACTCTGAGAAGACTTCGGGTCTTGTGACAAGCAGCGATTTTGAAGATTCTGCACAGTCTTCAGAAGCATAAGGCTTCCTACTCCACAGTGGAAAAGCGGGGCGATACCTTCGCAACTTGGATGCAGAATGTCGTCGTCGGTGCGACACTGTCTTCAAGCCTGAGTTGGTGGAGCACACTGGCAGGACACCTCCTGCCCCAGTTTCGGACACAGCGCTTTCCGGCAATGCGCGTGCCTTGTTAGTGCCTGTACCTCAGCCTGCCAAGACCTGCAGAGTGCTTCTGTCCCGCCCAAACCAGCATTTTGTCCTGGTGACCTCGCATTGGAGGCATTCTCGTGACTCCTTTCATGAGCTACCATCAGCTCCGTCTGAGGCGAGGTAAACAAGAATGCCAGGAAGAGGTGTGCACCGCTCGCGCCACGGCTGCAACTACTTGCCGTCGCAATTGATTTGAGGAGTCGCGGGCTGAGGGTATGTGAGGTGCCGTGTGTGTCACTTGTTGGATGGTGCTTTCAGTCCGATCAGACATGTGCAAATCTGGGATGGGCAACTTTAGTTTGCAACGGCCTGAGCACGCTGTAGCACGGCAGCACGGGCACTCGTCACTTAGCAGGCTTAAGGGCGGCAAACAATTTGCAACACTTTGCCCCTGGGCAATCCATTGCACAGTCAGGGTTGAGGCAAAGCTCTAGCTCGATAGAAACAGGCAAAGTTCTTCAACCACTTCACTTGCTTTCTGAATGCTCTTTAGATTGCCCACGGACGTGTGCAGGCTGTTGGCCCATGGTGTACATGGGCATTACCGCCGCAGTTGGGGCCTCTGCTAGGCCCAGGCCTTCCCGGCCTTCTTGTTCGGGCCAGAAATCCAGGGCCTTCAGGCTGGAAAGGCTTGCCACTTCTGATGTTCATCATCCCGAAGCGTAGAAGGTGCAGCTTTGAATGTATCATCTAATTTACTCAACTTCGGCTGTCTCCAATTCCTACATGCTCTTACACAAGTTCCGGTGCCTGCCTTGAGCAACGGATGGGAGCCGGTAAATACGGTTCGATCTTTGTTTCGCCTCCAACGTAAGGAGGTAGAGGTAGATGAAACGGATTAACCTATGATTATGATGTAAGATTATTGTACAACGCAGAAGATGAATGAAATTATGCAAGCCAATCAGCATGACATATTGCATACATACACGCACTTTCAATTGTTCACCTCAACTGATTCGGTCGTGTCTTTACGGCGCAATCGCACGGGCTTCGCCGCGATCGCGATCGCGTGAGGACGCTCCCCGTGGAAGGGGGGAGGAGAACCATGGACAAGAACGACATGGCCGGGGGTCGGCGAACGGAGAAGCGGGATCATCATGCCGTTGTTTATGTGCACGATAATAAGCTAAAAAGCGAGCTCGTTAGACCGGGACGTGGGCGACACCCGGAAACAGAGTCGTACTTGCCATATAAGCGTAGTGGCACGAGCACGCATACTGCCAGCAAAACCGGCAAGACCAGTGAGACTAGCAAGGCAAATTAAGGGTTACTAAGACTGCTCGAGTATTTATCGCACTGCCAGAAATGCAGGTTTTGACTCTACCAACAAGAAGCCCCGTTATATTGTGTTGTGAATGTTTGTAAAGATGACGTCAAACAGGCTTGTAGTTACCTGTGCCACTCCGGCTGCAAGACAATGGTACAAGGAGCTAAAATAGTTCCTTTACAAGGCCCAGACAGGGCAAATGGACATATCTCTTGCTCTAGCCAGGTAGCATTGTACATGCATCTGAACCACATGAACCAAAAGACCTCCTGAGGTTCACAACTGCCGAACCTGCAACTCAGCCAGAAAGCATACATCCCAGCCGCAAGCACATTCCATGCCTTTTTCCGCCGGTCTCCTGCCTGCCCTGCTGCCACGTAAAGAAGTCTCGCCCGAAAGCTCCACATATTCCTCGACCTTTGATGTGCCCCCTGGCGACTGCCCGAGGCAATAGCGCTGGGGCTCGCCGTCGTCGTGCAGCACAAGAATATTCGTCCCAGGCCGGGCATAGAATGGGCAGGTCATGCGATCGAGTGTGTGGCAGCTTCCATCCGGGGATGAGTGTTCCTTCCACTCTTGCTGTTGATATTCCTCGTGTCGATTTCCTGCAGTTTTAGCACTTGTTGAATATTTCTTTTGTACAACAAGACTGACATGGTCGCTAGCAAGACTTCCGATTGGCGGTGGTAGTCGTCGTTGTGGTTGTGGTCTGTGGTCCTGGTGCTGATGCTTGCGGTGGTCGCAGTCGTGCTGGTGGCGCTGCCGTTGGCGTAGTAGTAGTAGTAGTAGTAG